AGGAGGGGAAGGCAAAGCTGTACGGTAGCCGAGCTCATTAGCCAGCACCCCCACACCTCCACTAGGAGGAGGGCGGGCGGCCAGGGAGCTGGTGGCAGAAGCAGCAGAGAAAAGGCTGTCACTGTCCTTTCTTCCTTTTGGTACAAGAGTCTCCCTGAGCCGGTTCTCCTGTAGTGACACCTCTCATGGGCGCTAATGAGATCCGTGTCACAGAGCTAATGCGCTCTGACTAGGCTCTTGATAGACACCCCACTCCTTCAGGGGAGACCATAGGCCAGTACTGCCCTCCTGGGGCCAGGCCCCCATCCTGCCACTTGCCAGCCCAGCTCTCTTGCCAAACTGTGCTGGTCAACAAACTCCTGAGAGGACCCACTTCTCTGGCCATCCTGCCTGACAGGAACCTCAGCGGGACCCTCCCTCAGCCCCTGAGCAGAGGGGTGAAGCAACCAGGGCAGGGCCACCCAGCTGGACTTCAGGGAAGGTTCCAGTTATCCTCCCAGACGGCTGAAACCAGCAGTCTACGGGGCCTCCTCGTCCCAACAACCACTGAGCTTTTACTAACCCTTCCTCTGCAGACTTCCAAAAAGAAAGAAGCAAAGGAGGCCCAGGTCTTGCCCTTCGAGAGGTCAAGTATGTGAGGACTGATCATTAGCAAACAAATTATAATCAGGGACTAAAGGTGTATTCTGTACACCCACCCTGGGAGGGCCAGGCAGGATTCCCAGGGGAGGTGGCCTCTGGAAGATGGACAGGTTTTCCTGAGCCAAGAGGTAGACAGCAAACAGAGGTCACAAGAGTAAGAACTGTCGGGGTCAGAAAGAGGTCAGAAGAGGTTGCGGGGCACTGGCTCAGCATGACTACAGCAGAAGTGAAGGGTGGCAATGCTTCCTTTCCTTTCTTCCTCGGTTGTTGCTATTGAAGCTTTGTCAAGGCCTGTAAGTGTCGCTGATACTGAGGGAAGTGAGGGAAGTGAGCTTATTTTCTTCCTCATTATCTCTGTTGGTAGCACAAAGCCTGACACCAAAAGGTACTCCCAGTTCAGCACAGTGGTAAGAACACAGGCTATACATTTATACGGTCCTGGGTTTGAATCCTGACTCCTCAAGTCATCTGGTTGAGTGACCTCAGACAAGTAACTTAACTAGGTAAGCCTCAGTTTTCCTACCTTATTCAATGGGAACGATGATATCTGCCTTCATAATACTGGTGTGAAAATTAAATTCGTTAACATAAATAACGCGCGTGTCTTGCTGACCCTGGGCCGAAAGGAAAGAAGCACAGTCCCTGGTGGAGGCTGCCTGCCGAGGACTTTGGTCCTAGCCAAGGAAGCTGAACAGCCAGGTCTGCACACATGTAGCTCCTCCTCATCCACTAGCTGCTCCAGCAGCCCCCTGCTCACCAGGCTCACCAGGCCAACCCCTCCCCCAGGGGGCGTCCTCCCATCTGCCAGGCCATGCTAACAGCCCACAGCCCGTCCTCCCAGAGCTTCAATGCTTCCACCGCTGGGTGCCCTCTCCCTCAGTCCCCAGGGCCAAGCCGATACCCGCTCCTGGACTGTGCCTGTGGGGCTGGGCACTGTGTCTGTCATTTTTACTAATACATCTCTAGCACTTATCACATAGTAGGAGCAAAGTAAATGTTCACTGACCTGGTCCTGACTCGGTTCCCACAGCCACTGCGGGCTCTGAATTAATCTTTACCTCCATGTACCTTACTGCACCTCCCCTTCTGCAGTTTCTCCTCACTAGTCCTCCCTGCTCATACTTTCAGGCTGCTCTGACCTGGTCACTCAGAGGAACTGCCTGGACGTTCCCATACTCCCTCTCAAACAACTCAGCCACCCATAGCCATCCTACCAGCCATCTCCCCCCCTGTAGCTGGGTCTCCCTGCCCCTCTCATCAGCCCACCCCTCCCGTATGCCGGCTCCCTTGCTCTCTCAGCACCTCCACCACCCAATGCTTGGCAGGAGTCCCCCACAATGTAGGCCCCACAGGCTGCTCCTGCCACACGTACCTTAGAAAGAGGCTCAGGATCATCGGTGGGCTTAGGGTCATTGGTAATTTGGGAGAACCAAGCAGATCCTGGACATGGCTAAGCTGTGGGATCTGCAGAACCCTTGCCCAGCATAACCAATGCTGCCTCATCCCCACCCCCAATATACATACCACTCCCCACTCCAGGCTGGCAGCTCCTCACAGAGTTAATTAGCACCATGTCACCGAGGACCAGCCTGAGTGGCCAGTGACAGGAGCTCACCCCTGACCCCAGGGCTGGGAAATAGTCCACATCAAACTCTTACAGCACGACCCTTTTAGCACGCACAGTAACTCGGGGCACCGCCAGCTGAAGCTCATTAAAGCTGTCTCTTTGGTGCGAGGGCCATTAACCTCACTGCTCAAAACCCATGCCTCCCCTCCCCGCCTCTCCCAGCCCAATTAATGCCCTGCATCTTCCCTCCCTTCCAAGGACCCTTACCCACACCCCAGAGCCAGTCAGGAGCTGGCAGGGCAGCCCCCTTCATTCAAAAATACAAACACCAAATGCCAGGAATCCCCAGTGTCCTTGAGTACCCACTGTGTGCCAGGCACTGCACAAGCCCCTCACACAGCTGACTTCACTGAACCTTCCCAGCAGCCAGGAGAGGCAGTAGCTCTCTTGTCTAAGGCCACAGGGCTCTGGACGGTGGAACTAGAACAACTGGCTCCAAAGTCTACTCTGTAGTCACTCACAGCCTTGGGCTGTCCCCTGGGGCCCACCCAGGTGGAAAACCTTCTCCATAAAGAAGAAAGGAACACCTCAGGGGTCCTAACCCAGAATGGACACGAGTGAAGAGAAAAGAAGGGAACACTGAGTCCCATGAGGCAGCAAACAGTGGAAACAAGGAAGCCCTTTCTCTCAGAAACACCCCCTGGATAGATACATACAAGGAGGGCACCCAGCTTCCTGTGCAGGGTGAGCTAACCCAGTCCCGCTGGTCCCTCCCACTGGCCAGACTCAATTACAGGCAGTTCCCCTTCCCCTGGGCCAATGCAAGTCCTCTCACTGGTCCTCGTTCTCTGGTCTCTATCTTTCCTATCACTCTTTCATTGACTCACCTACTCACTTGTTCATTCACCACCTGATTGGATTTACTGAGCACCTATTAAGGACTAGTTTGTGCAGCACAGAGTGCCTCAGTGAGTCTGAATCAGAGCTCTGATCACGCTGTTTTCTCACAAACCTGTCTCATCAAAACCTCACGAGAAACCCACTCCCTTTAACCTGTCTTCCCAGGCCCACTTACGTCCCCACTGATTTTCTAGCTATTCCCTAACCCAAAGGCCCCACTGCAGTACTGGAAACTATCTGTAGATGTCTGGACCTGCCATCGCAGTATGCCAGGCTTCCGCGTGCCCTCAGGCTTTGTACACACGCCTCCTCCTGAGAAGAAAATCCTTCCCCATTTTTCTGCCTAGCAAACTCCTATTCATCCTCCCAGGATCTGCTGACTCAAGTGTCCTCTAGGAAGCTTTCTGCTCACCTCCCAGGCATACCACCTGGCTAAGTTTGGGGTCTCCACTAGATTGCATAGAACAGCAGTTGGGAGGGAATAGCAATTGCTTGGGGTACCCCCCAAATCCTTAGACCCATTGACCACTCCCCCTCACCCCCCAACAAATATGATACACGGCATCCCAGAAGTCAGTGAGATGTAAATGAAGGAGCAGAAGCCATTTGGCAACCGAGAAAACCTTGCTTGGGGCAGCCCAGGTGTTTCTAACACAGCCCTCAGTGGTCTGGTGGCAAATGCCCAGTTCAGTCTCTGTCTCCTCCAGGATGTGAGCTCCCTGAGGACAGGAACTTCTACTCAGAACGCCCAGCTCCCACCAGGCACCAATGATGTCTGTGGAAAAGATGAGGGGCTTGTGTGTAGGAAGGGACTGGGTCCTTTGGTGTATCTTGCCAATCCCTCCTTCAGCCCCTGATACCTCCCCAAAGGTACATAGGTTATGATAATGTCATAGTGCCACCCAAGAATACCCCTGCTCCTCCCACTTGGAACAAAGCCTTGCCTGCTAAAAACCATTTGCATGCACATGTATGCACATGCACACAACATAATTCACATAGAAATGAACAGACATATTTCCTGACAAGCTGTCAATTGCTCCCATACACAGACACACGTTCTCAGGAAAATATAGAGATATATTGTTACACATGCATCCCTCAAATATAGATATACATGGACACACATATACTCTTAGACACATGGAGACATGCAGCTGAAGTTGCCAAATGCACACGCGTGTGCGCATGTCACACACACACACACACACACACACACACAGTCACTCACAGACAGATACGTAGCCATACTGAGAGATCAGAGGCTCCAATGCCCAGAACCACGGCCATTTCAGCTGCCTTCCAAGCAGTAATCCCCCTGAGGGTGCACCCCCACCTGGTACCCCAAGTGGCCCCTCCCAACCCAGTCACCGCTCAATGGAGGCTGCTGCTCCTGCGGGGGAGTCAATACCCTGTGGACGGAGCCATCGGTCAGAAGGACCCCGACTAATTAAAAGCTGGTGAGGTTTAAATAATTCATCTCCTTAACTCCCATTGATCGCCCAGTTTAGTGGCCACAGACTTGAAACAATATTAAACAGCCTCCTCCAGCTCCACGGGGGGTGGGTGAGCTGACATGTGCCCACCCCTCTGAGGACATCTCCCACCAGAGACTCAGCCAGAGGCAGGGGTACCTTGATTTGAATCCAAGGCCACCTGCGACCCACCCAAAGCCCAAACCCCAGTCTCCTCCTAAATATTGTTTTGAGAGACCCTTTCCAATGGGCTGGTTTCATTCTCCCCTCTTACCCCCTTTCCCTGCTCTCTCCAGCTACAGAGAGCACCTTGTTAGAGCTCAAAAAAGCCACAGAACCCCTCTGTGTGCCAGGGGTCTGGGGCATGTGGACAGGAGACTGACCGGGCTGCCAGGGGGACATGTGGGAGGACTGACCGATGCCGCTGTGGGGCCGGCCTATGTGCTGCAGGCTGAGGCCCTTGTTCATGTCTAGAAGTCCGTTCTTGGGCCAGCAGCCCATGGCGAAGCTGTAAGCCTGGAAGACAGGAGGCAAGAATGGTTAACAGAGGCCCTGATCCTGAACCAACCCATCACTCCCCCCATCAAATCTTCCCCCAAGGACTTATTCTCATCGTACCACTTTAGGAGAGCCCCCTCACAGGGTCCCCTTGCCACCAGAAAACCCCTTCCTCCTCTAGGGCTCCCTTTCTCCTGGGCATCTCCCCTTCAGAGGCCCTTTGACCTCACTGGGTGCCCCCTCACCAACTCCTGGAGAGAGCTCCCATTTACTAAGACCCTCCTTGTTAGGACCCTGCCTCTCATCAGGGGACCCCCTTCACCTTAATTTCCCCCCTCTCCAAAGTCCTCAGCACTCTGCTGGCCCCCTCCCAGAGCATTACTGGCCACAGAGACTGGGGTCCGAAAGACTTGGAGACTAACATATTCACACTTCACAGACGGGAAAATCACAGTGAGGGGGGGCCAGCCACCTGCCTGGTCCGGGTGCTTCTGACCCAGAGACAGGCGAGGCTGTAGAAGGCTGAGTGCCAGGCGAGTGTTCACCTGGGGAGGGGTAAAGTCACCTGGTGAGATTCAAGCAGCAGTGAGGGGACACATGAAGGGTGTGTGTGTGTGTGTGTGTGTGTGTGTGTTAGGGGAAGCAGATCTCTGCTGAAGGTCAAGTGCTCACTTATGCATATTCAAAGCGGCCACCCATCGATCTGTACTTAATTGTTTTCCTGGGGTTGGGGAAGGAAGTGCTGGGGGCATCGATCTGCTCAGACCCCCAGCACTTCAGTGCTCCCCTACTCCTGTCACCTGACAGCAGCCAAACTCCACGGGGAGGGAGGGGTACAAACTCCAAGGTACATGGCAGGACAGGGATGGCTCCTGCTCTTACATTCCTTACAGGCATGACGACCTGATGTCACAGGTGAGGAAACTGAGACCCAGAAAGAAGAGACATACAAGGGTTAGAACATCTTTAAGTGGCCCATTGGGAATTTAACACCTGCTCAACCTGCTGGCAAAGTCCTGGGCTCTTACCAGTGAGCTTGCATAGCTAGCTGACACTTGAAACATTATCCTTTCACTCACTTTGGAAGTCCCCAAACATCAGGCTGCCCTTCTCCAGTGGCAGGAAGCATGTGGGACAGTGGTCAATGGGAATGAAGCTTGGGTGAGTCCCCAGAAGTTAGATGGTGAGTCCGCTGATGATACTAAAGTGACTGCAGCCATGGTCAGACAGGCACTAAAGTGCCCCTGCCCATCACTATGCCCAAGAGGCTCCCAGCCCACCACAGACTCCTTCACAGGGAGAGCACCAGCACAGGTTCAGAAACAAAGACAGGAAGCTGGACACAGAGTCTGTGCCAGGGCTGAGGAGCTGGGCAGAGGGCTAGTGTCCTTCGTTCCCAGCTGCAGGAACCAAGCCGTGGCCCCACGGGCAATGAAAGGCCAGGAGCCAGTGTACTTCACCCTTAGCACCCTCCAAAGCCATTATCCTTGACCATGAAGGTACTAGCCACAGCCCAACTTCCCAGCCAACCCTCCTACCCTTCCCCAAGTCACAGCTGCAACCACAAATTGGGGGCTGAGTGTGATGCTCAAGGACAGGGGAGAGGTCGCTGGCTTTGAGCCAGGGTGGAGCCGGAATGCAGGCGGAGAGGAAAAGCAGCCAGTGGGTGGTGCGGAGCTGAAGAAGCTGCTATGCATGGTCAGGGCCAGGACCGGAGTGCAGTGGGCCAGAGAGCAGCGGCGGGCCGGCTTTCAAGTACTTTAAAATCACTTACAAAGGCCGGATTAAACGATCAGAAATTCCATTTAATAGGACAAATAAAGAAATAACAATCTACTCTATCAGCCTGGAGAAGGCAAGCTGGATGGTTTTTTTCTCTCCTTCTAAAAAGGAAAAAGGGAAGGAAGGGAAAAAAAGAAGGATAATGTGTGTTTACTCAAGCAAAGAAAAAAATATTTAAGTGATGTCGGGGAGAAGATTGCAGTAACTAGTGAAGAATAACATCGTCTACTTTGCTGTCAAATCACACCCGAATTTCAGTAATAGATTCTCGGCTGACACTCAATTCAATTCGAAGGTGATCCTGCTTTATCCCAGCCCATCAAATATTAAACACTTGCATTAGCAGGTGCTGCCGCTTCCCGGCTTAAAGCGGCGGGCGGGCGGCGGGGCTGCGGAGGCCCCTCTGCTCTGCTCTCGGCTCAGGGACAGGGCAGCTCAACGTTATCTGCACGTCATCCTGAGTCTTATCGCGGCTAAGCGAGAAGACCACTTCAGATAACATTAGACGCTTGCCCCAACGCGTGTCAGCATGAATAGATTATTATTATAATAATGACTCCCCAAGAACTTCCCCCGACTCGGACACGTGGAAGGAGGGTGGAGGGCAGTGAGCCCGGGAGGACCAGGCTGGCCCGGGGCGAGCCAGAACCCACGGCAGGAAGCAGGGGCACCGAGCAAGGCGGCAGCGCCGTCCCGCCTGACGGATGTCTTTCAGGAAGGGCAGTCTAGCTTGTCAGAGCCGGGGCGAGATGAATTGGCGTCTCCGCCGTGGCCGCGGGTGTCATGCCGCACAGTTTCATATTCCCAGATAAGGTGCGATAACCAATTGCTGCTGTGACACGGCCTCATCCAGCACTTCCTCAGGGGGGCCCGGGCGGGGGAGGGGCAGTGCGTGCACATGGGTCTGGCAAGCTCCTAATAAGAGGGATTTAATTTTTACAAATGCTGCTTCCAGCGGGGCCTTCACATACCAGCCAAAGTCCAAAATGATATTAAAAATGGTTAATTAAAACTGCTCTTCTTCAGCCTGGGCTCTCCCTCTGCTGCCCTGCTGAGAATCCTGGCATGTCTCCTCCAGGTACTGCCACATACCCCTGCAGAGCTGAAACTTCACGGGTGACCACAGCCTCATGGAACCCTCCAGGCACAGTAAGATGGACCAGCACCTCAAGCTGCCCCTGCCACCTCAGATACCTTTCAGGCACAGCCAGTGGACGGACACAGAGAGCCACGCAGAGAATACAGGTCCTATAGCAACCTGTGTTCCCACCAATATGAGGACCAAATACTTACACCTGCTGCCCTAGGCACTTGTACCCACATGCCCGCTACCCTCAGCACACATTTCTAAAGCCCCTGCCCTCCTCCCAGATATACATACTGGAGCGTGCATACCCACACAAGTGTGCCCTCCTTCCATTCCCCACCCCCTCCTGACATCCTCCCAAAGAGATTACACCCACCCAGAATTCTTTTTTTTTTAAAAATATATTTTTATTGATTTTTTACAGAGAGGAAGGGAGAGAGATAGAGAGCTAGAAACGTCGATGAGAGAAACATCGACCAGCTGCCTCTTGCACAACCCCTACTGGGGATGTGCCCGCAACCAAGGTACATGCCCTTGACCGGAATCGAACCCAGGACCTTTCAGTCCGCAGACCGATGCTCTACCGCTGAGCCAAACCGGTTTCGGCCCACCCAGAATTCTTAACAGAGACTTCCTGGGGTCCAGCTTAGAACAGGGTGGTGTGGGCTCTGTCTCAGATTCTGGCTGGGAAGTCAAGTCTGGGACCCAAGAACCATCAGAGCCGGACGATTCAGGAGGCTGTCCACAGGGACAACGGAGACAAAAAGGCTGAGGTGGGATGGGAGGTGGCCAGGAAAGCTTCCTGGAGGGAGGGGTACTGGAGGGCACCAGGTAGAAGACATAGCAAAGGCAAAGGAGAATGGCAGGAGCAAGCTTGTGGAGTGCATAGGAAAAGGCTTGGGTGTTGCTGGGCAGCTAACACCGACAGAAGGAGTCATAACTTCAGATGCTGCCTCCCAGCTCTGTGCACACTGGCATCAACCGAGGGGCCCTGATTACAGTCTACCGCCTTTCCCCACTGCTTCCTGTTCCCGCTCTTTCTCTTCCGCCAGCCTGTGTGGTGTGGGGGTAAGGGACCCAGGAGCTTTCTGACCTTGATCAGTGTGAGGCAGGAATCCGTTTTAAGAGCTCTTGCCAAGATCTGTGCCTGAGCCCCTTTTCCATGCAGGTTCTAGATTCTCTGGGTGCCACTTTTCCAGCTGCACTTCTGCCAGCTGTCAGGCCCACTTGAGGGGTTCCTGGCCAGAGGGTGGGGCAGGTGGAAAGATGTCTGAGGAGCCTAAGTCCTGTCCGGGGTAGGTGGAGTTGCGGTGAGAGATGCTGGTCCACTAAACTGCGCCCTCCCAGCCCTGTGCCAGGCAGGCGTGCACACTTCCCTTCCCCTGGGCTGCTGTAATTTCCATGCACAGGGAAGCAGGTGCCGAGCTGCTCCCGGCTGGCTCTCCCCTCTCATGCTCTGCCCGCCTTGGCTGCTGCCCCATTAGCTTAGTGGCCAGCCATCTGCGACGGGCCTGCCACGCAGCCCTGCTGTAGGCGCGGCGGGTGGCCCCCTGTGTAACAGGGAGCTTTGCCATTAGCGCCTTTAATATTCTGACACCTCAGCACAGCCTGCTATTACATGCAAACGCTGATCGCCCTGTGAAATTACATTGCTGGGCCCGCGAAATGGAATCGTGTATAATCAGCCTCCTCCATGCACTGTCAGTCCCATCACAAACACGGCGCCCGGCGGCTTATGGGGGCTTAGCAGCTGCGACAAGTGTATTGGGTTTAATAGATGAAGTAGCCCTCATCGGCAGCAGCATCAGATCCTTCAAAGAGGAAAGAAGAGGCATCGACAGCTGCTGGGGTGTCTTTGCCCACCCACTCACCACCTACCAGGGCCCTGAGAGTAGGGTGGACACAGAGGGAGCAAGAACCCAGCTCAAGCTGCAGACAGAAGCGCAGACTACCCTGCAACTCCAGAAAACCCAGAGCTTCCAAGCCAACACCAGCACACCGACATACCCAGCCCTCCACAAGATGGGGAGGAGCAGGCCTCTACGCAGATCTCTGGGTGACTGTCACCCTCTGGGCGTAAGGCTGGTAGGACATTTGCCAAGCTGAGGAACCAAATCAAGCCAAATGCCATTCCCTTTTTATCCAACTG